AAATGGCTCCACAGCATGTAAAAATATAATATAAGCTCTGGCGGACTTGGTTCTATGGTAGGTCTTAAAGGGTTAAACAGATATTTTGTTTCATCGAGAAAAGTTTGGGAAGCTGAACACAGGCACAGCTGTCAGAATAATTGTGGTGACTGGGAATTCAACAATAACTCAAGTAACTAAAAGTAGAGCAACAAAACTACAGAAAACAAACAACAGCTGCCCCTTCGATACACCGCACTGTAATTCCTCAAAAACATCCATCCCAGGAAAAGTCTTCTTATTGCAGGTCTAAATCTTTGGCATAGTTCAAAACGGGTCCCTAAACATTTCCATTATTTTCTTGGTCCCCCAGTGTATGTTATTGTTTCTAAAGAAATACTTGACATCAATCATTTCATCCAGTGCTTAACAGTTTGTCCCCCAAAACAATGATATACTATTGTCATTAAGTTTTATAATGTAGTTCCACGACTGTCTTTATCCGCCAGTCCCACCCATGTTACACCCATGTGATGGATGATACTCATCAGTTTTCGGAGTATGACTTCAGCGCTCTGCCTGAACTAATTATGTGCTACATTTGTGTTTGAATATAGACTAAAGAGCTGCAGTTTTATCAGGGCGTGTGCAGGAGACACTGACTTAAAAACTAAACACGGAGCAAAAAGTCTTTCAGAGGTAAGATTTATGCACGTGTTTTCATACAATATGGTAACAAAAGACTTTGTTACCAACAAAGGAGGTGGTTTTACAAATATAAGTTCGAATAATCGCCCCACCTTTGTTAAAGAGCAGGACACATTCACTCCCTGCACGCACTGTTGTCCCACATTACAAGCAAGGCTTGAACGGCGCTTCTAAAAGGGCGTTTCCAGATTAGCCGTGATCTGTAGCGTGTCCGAGCACAAAGCCCTTCAAGGTTTGCACCAAACACTGAGCTCCCCATCATCCACATTAAATGTGCATATGCAATAAAAATGTGACAGCTACCTCGACAGTGGAGCACTGCTGTTTCATCAGCATAATGGTACTCAATTTTCCTCAGATTCAGTGTGGACCAGCAGGTCTTCAAATACCACAGTAAAATATCTCCAGTACTCAAAACACACATGTCACCAGCAGGGTGTTATGTAAAGTCACCTCTGTGATCCTTTTGAGTTTCTGGAGAGAGATTTGGCCAGTGTTGGTCAAGTTACTTGAAAAAAGTAATCAGTAACTAATTACTGATTACTTCCCCCAAAAAGTAATCCCGTTACTTTACTGATTACTTATTTTCAAA